AGAAATCAATAAAATACCTCAAGATAATACAGACTTTTAAGCACATTTTTAGGCATAGTTTGTAACAAGGTGCTGACTTACAGATTTGTGTAGAAGTCCACCGGTGGGTGCTTGCACTGCTTGTTGGAGCAGGGCACTTTATACTGTGAATGTAGTATGTAAACATCACAGACAACATGTTATATACATACCACAAGATCTAACATTATTATGTGAATACCACATAGATAGATCCTATGTTATGTGAATGCAACTAGATCTAATGTTATTATCTGAATACCACATATCTAGATTTAATGTTATGTGAATACCACATAGGTAGATCTAATGTTATTATGTGAATACCACATTCTAGATCTAATGTTATGTGAATACTGCATATCTAGATCTTATATTATTATGTGAATACCACCTATCTAGATTTAATGTTATGTGAATACCGCATAGGTAGATCTAATGTTATTATGTGAATACCACCTATCTAGATTTAATGTCATGTGAATACCACCTATCTAGATTTAATGTTATGTGAATACCACCTATCTAGATTTAATGTTATGTGAATACCGCCTATCTAGATTTAATGTTCTGTGAATACCACCTATCTAGATTTAATGTTATGTGAATACCACCTATCTAGATTTAATGTTATGTGAATACCGCCTATCTAGATTTAATGTTATGTGAATACCGCATAGGTAGATCTAATGTTATTATATGACTTGAGTGGATTTCCTGGTTGTGGCAATTTATGACATTTACAAGATGTGTGTCAACTCATCTAAAGGCCAAGGATCAAGGCAGCAGCGTTATTTTCTTTGTAATGGGATTTCCGAGACAGTATTGCAAAGTTAGGATGACCATGTCCCTGCCATTTGATTACTTTCAGATGAATCATCATTATCAGAACTTTTGCCTATGGCGCTTTCCTTTGACTTCCTCTTTGTCAGAACAGTGTCAAAGACAATCAGGTTAGAGAATTGGGGCAATGAAGACAACGTACGGCTGACCCAGTTCCTCGGATTGCCTCAAACTATGCTTCGTATTTCTCAGCGGGAACACTGTTTGTTCATATATGTAAAGCTGGTAAAGTTATTAATCATGTTGATTGTATAAAGGTCACATAGCATGTGTTTTTGTGGAAATGGCTATTTAGGACAAGATAAATCAGTTTTTAAATGGTTTGAAAAGGTAACTTGTTCAAGGATGGCCTGAAAAGAATGGTTGTTTTATTCATGGACTACCATGGAAATAGATCCACGAGGAGTTTCTCAATATACCATGGACTTCTAATTGCAACTTGGTTCAAATCTAAGCGGAACATTTCTGAACAAACAGTTCCACAATGAGCTAAATGTCAAGTGCTGTGACTCCAGGCAGTTTCAGTTTCTATTTTCCCAAAAGTCCTTGGAGAAATTTAATTGAAGAGAGCTTTGAAAGTATCATCTTTCCATCTACATTAAAATGAAGAAGTTCATTAAGTGTAGGTGTTGTGGTCTTAGATTATTCTATGGTTTATTGTGTATGTGTATAGTATCAACCTCCAAATTGCATCAAACTCTGCTCAGTGGATGCTTAACTGGCATTATGACCAGTGTGGCATTATAAACATTAGTGCATTATGACCAGTGTGGCATTATAAACATTAGTGCATTATGACCAGTGTTGCATTATAAACATTAAGGCATTATGAACAGTGTGGCATTATAAACATTAGGGCATTATGACCAGTGTGGCATTATAAACATTAGTGCATTATGACCAGTGTGGCATCATAAACATTAGTGCATTATGACCTGTGTGGCATTATAAACATTAGGGCATTATGACCAGTGTGGCATTATAAACATTCGTGCATTATGACCAGTGTGGCATTATAAACATTAGTGCATTATGACCAGTGTGGCATTATAAACATTAAGGCATTATGAACAGTGTGGCATTATAAACATTAGTGCATTATATGACCAGTGTGGCATTATAAACATTAGGGCATTATGACCAGTGTGGCATTATAAACATTAGTGCATTATGACCAGTGTGGCATCATAAACATTAGTGCATTATGACCTGTGTGGCATTATAAACATTAGGGCATTATGACCAGTGTGGCATTATAAACATTCGTGCATTATGACCAGTGTGGCATTATAAACATTAGTGCATTATGACCAGTGTGGCATTATAAACATTAAGGCATTATGAACAGTGTGGCATTATAAACATTAGTGCATTATATGACCAGTGTGGCATTATAAACATTAGTGCATTATGACCAGTGTGGCATTATAAACATTAGTGCATTATGACCAGTGTGGCATTATAAACATAAGTGCATTATGACCAGTGTGGCATTATAAACATTAGGGCATTATGACCAGTGTGGCATTATAAACATTAGTGCATTATGACCAGTGTGGCATTATAAACATTAGGGCATTATGACCAGTGTGGCATTATAAGCATTAGGGCATTGTGACCACCGGGCATTATAAACATTAGGGCCTTATGACCAGTGTGGCATTATGAACATTAGGGCATTATGACCAGTGTGGCATTATAAGCATTAGGGCATTGTGACCAGTGTGGCATTATAAACATTAGGGCCTTATGACCAGTGTGGCATTATGACCAGTTTGGCTTTGGCATATGAACTAACAGAACTAATTGGTTGAGATCTTATATGAATGAAACAGACTAAATATTTCATGTAATGTAGCCAGAATGACCAGAGTGTAATCCTTCAGTGAGGCAAACTTTGCACAATGAGTTTCTCTGTAATTGGACAATTTATTCCCAAGCCATATTTCTGGCTTATGTGGCCTGTCGGGCACTACAGTTTGGGCAGCATCTATACCCACCCTCCATATCATGGTCATTTAGAATGGTTGTACTGTCCAGGTTCTGAAAGTCTCTCTCAAGAGTACTATAATACTATGAAATCGATTTCCTCAGTATCTACATGATGAAGCTTCTAAAAAAAATCCTGGTGTGGGCAGTGTGTATGCCACATGAAACCAAATGTCTTTGAGCCACTGAGCATATGGTACAGTATCCTTGAAATGTCATTCTCTATTGAAGATAAGTCAAGGAGACTGTTCATGTGATTGTCTCTGAAATAGGATTGCCAGTGTTGAAAGCTGAACTCTTCCTAATAACCTAATATTTCTTTGTCCACATTAAGAAATAAGTTAGATTATAATGAGACAAATATGTCTTTATTGTTTTCATGAAGCCTGTAATGTGTTTGTGAGGATGCTGCTCTGCAGATGTTCTTGGCAATGGTGCTGATGATGAGAGCTATGAGCCCTGATGATATTCCCAGTTCTTCTGATGAAGGCAATGACAGCAAACAGTTTTGATATTGCATGGTGCTGATGGTAATATACAACCCAAATTAATTGAGGAACAGCTGCTAGAAACAATGTCCAAGAGCCAGGCCTCGGCTTGGGGCAGAATTATATTGATAATAGGGGATGACAGAATAATTCCACAGACGCACATCAACTGTCACCTTTTAACTCTTCAATCACAGGAAGACATTTTCACAATGCAAGGACATGTTTTGTCCATGACCAAATCTTTCCTTTCAGCGTGTTTGTTATATGTGTCAAAGTTGTTTCTGACCATTGGGTTAACATCATGGTTGCATATCCTTGACACATTGCCTTGCCAGGTGTCATTGCTCATCATCGTGAGCGAAACAGCTACTGTGAAGAGGTTGTCTGATCTTGGTGCAGATGCATTCGAGGAAATGGCCAAGAACATCATGTCCTTGCAAGATAAACATTACTTGCTGAGATCAATTGGAAATGTTACTTTGAAAGTATTAATCAGTGATTTGAAAGAACTGGGGAATGGGTCAAAAAGATTAATTTGTACAAAATGATTCTGTTTTGTCAGTCATGGAATCAGACAACTGTTCATTCCAGTTGTGGAAGCAGACATTTTGATGTGTATGATAGTCATGAAAGGTTCCCAAAGTATATCTGGTACTGCTATGTAAGTAGTATCAAATATATTTTGGGAACTTCCACAAGTATCAGTTATCTGCAAATTCCACTTTTAGCATCAAGTTCATTTATCTTGGTCGATTTTTCACTCGGGAAGAACTGGTTTCCCTTTGTTTAGAAGCCTCTGTCTGGTCACTGCAAGTGTTGCTCCACATTATGTAATTACACAGGCCTAGCTATTACAGGGAGGCCGGACTTATTTTCACCTCCGTTGAAGGCAAAACAGGTGACAAGGACATGTTAAGTGGTCGATACTGACGTCAAGCAGATCAGGGTTGTAACAGCAATTAGTTTGTATCTACAGCCGTGGATGGTTTCCAAAGCTACCATTTAATGTTAGGGTTTGTGGAGAAGATAAATGAGATGCTTCTTCACCCCTGATCTTACAGGTCTTTGTGTACGTCTCTTTGCTGTGCTGCCAGAATTGAGAATCAATGGGGGATTTCTTTTGATGGAAACACAAAGTTTGAGATAGGTAATCATGTTAGTCTAATATTGGTGCTGAACTGGAGAGGTACTAATTAGGCTCTGACTTGTACTCGAGTTCAGATGGGTTGGAGTACCTGGAAAGGGAGATAACTCTAACCCATATTTATCCTAACACTTGTAACACATACTTGATGGTATTTTCTCAATATCTTGCATACAATAAATCACCTTGTACAGAATAGTAATAATGTTAAACATAGAGTTGTGCATGCTATTAATAGGATGACACATTGAAAGGATAGGCTTCTGTTATTTGAAGAGAATAGGTCCAAATGCACCAACTAGTCAATGAGGTTTTCTGTTTGTTTTGATGGCATCTCTAGAAATTCTTGTAACCTTACAAAACAGGAACTCAGGTCCAGGTCAGAATATGTGAACACGGTCCTTGATTCCATTTCGTTGTCATGTTTCTGTTTATTGGGCTGAAAGAACTGGCCCCTTTGAACTTGGATCATTATACCTCTATGGTTAATTGTGAAAATAATTGTTTTTTCTCAGAATATTCCTTGCCCTGACTGCAACCCCAGAGCGATGCCTCCTCAGCCTGCCCCCAATGAAGATGTGCCTCCACCGTGCCCCTGCTGTCTCAGTATGCGCAGCGAGAGGAGGGAGACAATTCAGGAAATAGTGGAAACTGAAATCAGCTACGGAAGAGATCTGAAGATTCTTAGAGATGTATGTACAGTTGATGATGATGATGATAATGATGATGATGTCATCTGCAACTAAAATTCTGATAAGAGACACGTGCCCCAGTATAAAGCGCTGCAACCCGTTGTGCAGGGTTCTTGGCACTAGGTTCATACATTCGGCATGCCATTATCCTTTGATCATGGGTTCAAATCTAACATTCGCCCATTATCATGATTATTGGTTCGTCAGCATGATACCTGTGTTCGAAGGTCTTACATAGAGGTAGAGGTCACATACCTGCTTCACTTTAGGCTTTGCTGCTTCAAAAGGCTGACATGCAATTATCTACTGTTCAAAGCAGCATTTTAATCACTCATTCACTGAGTGACTTATGGTTTAGATTTTAACCTAATTTTAAGATTTGCATTAAGTTTAAGATTTTGAGGCTTCATGTGTACCAATTCATGAAAGAAAAAGAGCCTTCAAAGACTTTTTCAGTTTCATAATATCTGAATTGATTAACTCTGCTGTGTGGATATATCTTTTGATTATGGAGCCTGATCTATTCTATTTGCAGGAGTTCTACACACCAATGAGGCAGAATGGCATGCTGAACAGTGAGCAGCTGGAAGTGGTGTTCACCAACCTCCATGAGTTGATTCAGGTCAACGAGCAGTTCCTACACAAGCTGCAGAGCGAAGTGGCCACCGCCGCCAACAACAATGAGGAGGTAGGAATATCACTGACAGCGCTGCAATAGGATCAAATTAAGTGAAGAAAAACATTGCACTTTTTGATTTGCTAATTTAGTTGACAATCTGGGGGAGTAAAAGTCTAATTGTGACACCGGTCTTAGTTATTATTCACTTCAGTGAATCTGATGATGACGGTTATTGTGCTGGTAAGTCAAGAATCATAATCTGGGCAAATGTTCGATTCTAACATTAAACCCACAATCAGCAGATCGTGCATGAGTGTGTGGGTAAATGAGTTTAGTTTAATGCCTCTTTGACAGGTATTTGAGTGGCAACTTGATGTTGGTTGATCAGATGTCAGACTCTACCACTTCCTTGACTGATACCTATGAGCACGGGTATGGTGATGACAAACCTAGAAACATATATAATCAGGGTGAATGCTGGATTCGCACTCACGATCATAGGTTGCTGACACACTTGTGTTGTGAATAAATAAAATATGTATGTTCAATATTTGTTAATTATATTTCTTACACTTATACAGAATTAATGCACTGCAACACATGATGAAAGAAATATTAGTAACACTTTTTACATTCAGTGATAAGGAACTGACCATTTGATATTCTGGGGGGAAGCTGGGTTTCTGCAAAACCAGATATATTTTTTTAACTAAAACGCCTTGTAACAATGTATAGTTTGTGGCTGACTATTTCTTTCTTTTGCAACAGTCAGAAGCACAATTATGTTTTTCAAACATAATCGCAGCACCCCTCTCCCCCAGAATATCCAATGGTCTGTCCCTAAGGCCCCTTATATGATCAATTTGTAGCCATCTCACAGATTCAATATCTTCCGTAAGGGAGTAATTTTTATTCAGATGTACTAACAAACTACAAGAAATACAGAAATGAGCTGTGTGTGGCTGGTTGTGTAAGACAGGGATGTCTGGCGTAATAATTCTTGTCTTATATAACAGTCTACACACAATCTCATTAGTGGACTCTTCATTGTACAGAACTATGTCTCCTGACCGTAACTGGATAATGTGTGTTTAGCAAGCCTTTCATACAGGTTGCATCATCTCACAGATTCAATTCACAGGAAGCCATGGTTTGATTTCCTGGCTGGCTGTAAGCAAGGCTAAGTAATTTAGGTGTGTGAAGTAAATCTGATTGGTTTCTGTCTGCTGTGCTTTAGAAAACAGCAATGACATCACTCTATTGTTTCACTGCATGTTATCCGTCACAAATTGACAGTTTACTTACCTACTTTCTGCAATGCAAATTTTAAGCTCACCCATTAATTCTAAGGGGCAGTCCGATAACCTAGTGGTTAAAGCGTTCGCTCATCACACAGAAGGCCCAGGTTCGATTCCTGTGTGAAGCCCGTTTCTGGTGTCCCCCGCCGGGATATTGCTGGTATATTGCTAATTGCGGTGTAAAACCATACTCACTCACTCGTTATTATTAAGCATGTGCATTATGAGTGTCCTGGCTACAGCAGTCAAATAGCACAAGGTGCACATACAATACCAATGTACAGGCTAGTTCAAATGCAGCAGAGATATCGAAGGTTGAAGTCAAAGATTCTTGTGTATTAAGAATGTACCGCATGAGATCTCCTTGCAGCATATTTGTGTTGTACTTATTTTCATGTATTTATTGATTTATGTTAACTTTCAGGTGGTATTTTAAATATGCTTATGCAGTACAGTAGAACATGGATATAACAAACTACAAGGAACCAGAGAAATCAGTTCATCATATACGTTGTTCGTTATATACATTTTTGCTCAGAAACGTCCACCATCTTGGCTAAAACAAAATACAATACACATACGCGTTTATACACGTTTCCTCCCGCATCTACCGGTGATTCAGTTAAAAAGTACCAAATGATACAACTTCAAAAAGATTTAATGCAATGGTCAGAAGAAATTGAATCTGAAATTATTAATATACTCCAATATCACCGAAATTAATGTAAACATTATTTAATGAAATTTGTTTGTTTTACAGACTAGATTAGTCCAATCTATGTCTGTTAGTTCGCTGAAGAGAGTTCGTTATGTACGTAAATTTTATATGATAATATATAGGAGATAAATCAGGGATTTTTTAACAGTTCGTTGTATCCGTTTGTTTGCTCTATCCGTGTTCGTTATACCTGTGTTCTACTGTACCTCGTTACTTTGATGCTGTATTTTATGTCAGACTGGACATTCATTACAAATAATGATACTCGCCTGGGAACTTTGCAGACTCATACATTATTTGTGACCAATATCCAGTTACGCATGCATGTGTTGTTCTTATATTGCTGATGTGAGATCAAATTTTAACTCAGTCAATATGCTTGTCATAAGAGTTGAATTAAATAGGGATTGTGTGGTTGCGATGTGTGATTGTCATTGTTCCTTGATAAGATGGATAGGTGTTCACCCCCAGTGGATGGGTACCGAGTAGGATGAGATTGAATACAGAACATTCAAGTGCCAAATCAGCTGCATGGGTTGTATACTCCCCAGGGAGTTTAGAAAGGAAAATGAATGTACACTGATCCATTGAGTGGTAGGAACATGCATTGTGTGGACTTCAGTAATTACTGTATTCGACGTAATAAGCACCTTGCTCTAATAAGCGCCCATGGCGATATTTGCTTATATAGTGGCTAGTGAACAATCTCATTTAGCACCCCTTCCGATTGATCAATGTACATAAGACTTATTTATTCGCACATAATACGCACTCGTGTGCTACATGCACCATTAATTATGGGCAATTACATTCTGGACAAACATATCTGTCGTACATAAACATTTCAGGCTGTCAGCATAAACCACAAAATTTATCTTTCAACTCTGTTTTTTCCACCAAAGTAATATTCTAATAAGAGCCCCCTATTACTAATTTTGAGTGCATCCTGAGCGCTTATTACGTCGAATACGGTATTGTATAATAGTTGATCAGTCAATGCATGTGGGCCAGTCTGGATTATATACAGGTCACCTTGACACAGATGGAATTTTGCGAGTTGTGGCATAAAAAAAGCAAATATTTCATGGATTTCGGTCTAAAAGAAATTAAATGGTGTCACCTGTGCAATGTCCACTTCATTTTAAAGTTTCTAGAGGGTGCTACAGTGACACAGGCCTTCCTTGCTGTCGTCAGGTTTTGTCTAGAAAAGTTAATACTGTGACACTTAAGTGGTGAGAGTTATTAGATTGGGAGCTACTTTTACTTACCTATTCCTAGCCCTGACCTAGCTGTCTGAATCTGTGACACTCGCGTAGTGTATTTAGGGGAATGGTTAGCGGCTAGGTTGATGATGATAATCATAAAATTATGGGGCACAGGTCACCAAGTCATTTAAGACGTCATGCGTTCAACAAAGACTTTCTTACTTTATCTGACTCATATTAAGCGGATGCGCCATGATATGAATGAAATACTGTTCAAAGCACTGTTAAACTCACCTCACTATTGCATTCATAAGATTGTCTTATTACTGAGAATTTAATTCTGCTTTATATATGGTTGTTATACAGCTTTCATATATAGCTCTGACAAAGCTGGGGTGGTCAGGGGTAGGCTAGTGGTTAAAGCTTTCGGTCGTTACGCCGAAGACACGGTTTTGTTTCCCCACATGGGTACAATGTGTGAAGCCAAATTCTGGTGTCCCCCTGGTAATATGGCTGGAATATTGCTAAAAGCAGAGTAAAACCATACTCACTCACTGGGACGAAGCTCTGCTATTTCCAGTATGGTTTCAAACCTATTATGTCTTAGCATGAGGTTATAAGACATGTCAGTATCTCTTTTGTTTAAGACTGTGAGTACAGAAAAGCAATTCGACATAATAAGCGCCCATGGCGCTCTCAAAATTAGAAATAGGGGGCTCTTATTAGAATATTATTTTGGTGAAAAAAACTGAGTTGAAAGATAAATTTCATGGTTTATGCTGCGGCCTGAAATGTTTATGTACGACAGATATATCTTTCCAGAATTTAATTGCCCATAATAAAGGGTGCCTATAACACACAAGTGCATATTATACGCGAATAAATAAGTCTTGTGTACATTGATACACCGGAAGGTTGCTGATTGGGATTGTTCACTAGCCAATATATTAGCAAATATCGCCTTAGGTGCTTATTAGAGCAGGGAGCTTATTACGTCGAATACGGTATCATTAGCTGATAATAAAACTTCAATCAGATATTGATATCAGAAATAATATCCACATTGTCTGTTTTTACTGCAACAAATAGTGGTTACAATCTCAAGGACAGGGCGTTCCAGTTCTCTGTGAATGTTATTTTATTAGGTGTAATTGGCTGATATTATTTTGTTTTTATTTCATTATCAACAGATTTGTCTGACAGATGTCAAATATCTTTTATGTAATTGAAGAAAGGAAGAGAAGGGACATTGACTCATAGAATTGTGTGTTTGAGTAAGCGAGAGTGATTTGGCGGTAACATCGCTTTGAAGAGTATTCGAGTTGTATCACAGCATGTCAGCTTGATGGGGGAGGAAAGCAAGAAGTGATGCAGGGCTTACACTTGTACTACTTTGGTAAAACCCACAAGCAGTTGTATGGTGATGACAAACAGAAGCATAATCATGGCAAACTGGTATTTGAACCATCAATCATAGGTTTCCTGCACACATAAGGGACACAACTCTGCACAGCTAAGGGACACAACTCTGCACAGTGCCTGAGAGAATGTCTTGGCCACAGGCGCCCACATTGTATTTGAATTATATGGGATGTATGATAGTAGTCCAGATTTAATGTGTTTGTGATTTTTTAGCAAGCTTTTATAAACGTCAGTTGGATCTATCAGGTTTTAATTCATTTGGAAGAAGAGTATGCAGATGAGATTTGCAAGATCTACAGTTATGATTGTTGGAAGAGATCTCCAATTTGGTAACATTTTGTTAATACATTAAGTTAGTGGACTCTGAAATGTCTACCCTACCATGATTCAGTCATTATTAGTTGGGATAAATATATTTATAGGGAGGTAGGAATATTCATGACATTTAAGTCTTTTGCCATTAAAGTTTGGATGAATGTGAATAGGAATATATTTGACATTTAAATCGTTTGCCACTGTCAATATTATACCAACAAGCATTAACTGCTGCCCAGAATGTTTGGAAATTTGATGATTTTCTGTGCCTTAAAATGTCACATTAGATCGACATCCAAAGAACCCTCATGTGGTGACTGATGTCAGGAAATCAGCAATAACAAGACTCTCCGGAATGGCAGTAACATAACATGCTAAATATAAATGTGCCAAGGTCTTGAAAAGCTTCCAATGTATTGATTCAGATTTGTTGTGATGATATTCTAAGCCGCAGCCGAACTATATATAGTACTCCGGGAGGACTGGTTTGATGAATGAAGAGTCGATATAGGGGACAGATGTACAGAAATAATTCATTGCCTTCTAGTAGAGAGAAGAGACAAATCAGTTTGACAAGTAAATATGACCAGAGGACCTGTATCAAATTCAGTCCGATTAGGATAGACTTTCTAATTCGCATGGCTCATTCGTCTGCATATTTTAGCACAGGAATTTTTACCTCTATCCATTCTTTACTAGAAAAGGACACATATGGGATACATGGTAAATACTAATATAAAGGACAAATAAATCAGACACATACAGGACATATACAGGACATATGCAATACACATGCAGGACATGGAAGGCACATACTGAACACATACAGGACATATGCAAGACACATACAAGACACATACAGGACATATGCAAGACACATGCAGGACATATGCAAGACACATACAGGACATATGCAAGACACATGCAGGACATATACAAGACACATACACAACAATGTTTTGTCAAGTATCATTGGTAGCAGAAGAGTTTTGTCATGTGTAGGAATCTGTGTTTATTGCCAGAGGAATGAGGAAACTGTTGTGTTTCCAGGTTAGAATAGCTAGGTCCCCAACAACCTATGCTTGTCAAAGAGGAAGGCTCTGAGCGAGTGACTTTGTTGATTGTTGGTCATTATACATTGAAGGCATGGGATGTTACTCAAAATATCAATCAGATATTGGTCCAGATTCAACAATGTACAGGCTGACGCGGTTGTAGCTGGAATATTGCTGACTGGCATTAAACAACAAACAAACACAAGTAAACAGATTTAAAATTTCTCATGTAAGTTATCATTAGTGTCTGTATGACTGACAGCAGCTTAACTTCTTCTCCCCATCACCCGACAACAGCATCATGGCGAGAGCCAGTGTGGGGGTGAAGTGCTCCTCGGACACTGGTAAGGGTGCGTGTGATGTTGTCAACACAGGGCTAGTTGAGGATTAAGGATTAGATGGGCAGAATCTGATATATCAACTTAGAAGTATTATTGGAAACTGTGAAAAGTGAAGGAAGCTCTGTCATTAGCTGTCTGAGCTGATCGAGTGGGGCTTACACAAGATAAGTTGTGGTAATTCCGCATCAGTTCAGATTGTAATGGGCTTGGTCGCAATCTGTCAGCGTATTCTACATTGGGTGGAGTTTTGATTAAACATGATTAAGGAAATGACAGACAGGGTGAGTTGGATGTGTTTATTGATGTGTTTGTGACATGAAACAGGGACTAGAAATTATGAATTAATATTTTATGTTAAGTTCATCAACATGTAAGGGAGGTCCTGTGTTTGATGACTGAGTGAACCTATTACTGGCAAGTTTGGATAATCGCTAGGATTCGTCAGTAGTGTTACTGTTGAGAAGTTGGAATATGGATGTCCTAGAGATATGGAAACATCCCTTTAAGTTTGTAACATCCAAAGTTGATATCTGGGTTCTTCACAGGGATTTATGTAGACCTGTCCTGATGGCAATATTAGGCCCCAAATCTGCAGAAAATGTCAGTAAAAATTCCCAAATTGGAATTAATTACCTTCCAATTCAATATGATATAGTAATTCATGGCACTGTGTGCAATGTTTTATTTGTTTTTGGTTTGAGAAAGTTACAGGGGGATGAGTAATAGTTGGAAAGATGTCAACAAACATTCCTAACCTTAAATTATTACATTAAACATGTTTGTGTTATTTGGGGACAATCATCAGAGGGAGGTACGCTCTGGCCAAGACTGGTTTGCCTGCCTCTGAGCACTATGGTGAAATGTTGACCCAGGGACAGGCCCACATGATATTGCTATGGAAACATTGACCTAGTTTCCATGTAGTGGGATATTAGCACTTTTCGACAGTGGGAATAATTGATATGTCAGGCTACAGGAGTAAACATATTAGCTTTAGGGCAATAACTCTCACAGAGAAGTATGGTTCATGGTTTTAAAAAAATACGCACTCTTAACATTTCGGCTTTCAATTTTAGCAATATCTGCATGTCTCCACTGATCTTGTTCATTATAATATTATTTAAGACCAATTCAAGTATTACCTTGAAAGATTAATTATGAAGAAATATTAATAATATTACCACTGTATAAATAAGTCAATGTGAACAGTGTCATGTTTACCTCTTTAATTGTGTCAACTTAGTACCCTCTTGTTCCTTAAAAACAAAAACAAATATTTCAAGAAGTCATTGTTATGAAAACATATTACTAGTTTTGTTTTTATAATATGTTTATTTTTTCCTTTTATATTACATAATAATTTAAACTGAAATGTGTCATATCACATTCATTCACATCAATACATTCCTGATTCTGATGGTACATGGAAATGACAATTTGTTTTACCTGCTGGGTTACATATAGGTATTTGCATCAATAGGTAGGTATGCTACAAAATGTCTTCATGTTGTGTTGATCCTCTAGGTCCAAGTTATCTCGTGAACATTGCTATGGATATTACTGGTTCAGGACGTACAATACATTACTCTGAAAGGAAGAGCTGAACAGGTTTAATTTGTTCTGAATACCCACCATGTTCAGCAAATTGTTTTGTAAATCTGAAGCAAAATTATTTTCATACAGTCAAGTGTTATAAGAAACAAGTAATATTTTCCAAATATATCCCAGGCCCTTCAAGAATATCAATGATCAGTCTCTAAACTGCTTGACAGAGGGTTGATCCTCAGCCCTCTACGTCGCTATATAAGTGCAATAATCTTGGACGCGACGTTAAACCCAATTTCACCTCACCTCACCTCAGCCCTCTAATGACCACCTCGAGTTGGTCTTGACCTTGTATTCAGTGCTGTATGTGAAACTGAGATATATATTGAGTCAGAGTTATTAGGGGAATCGTTAGTTGATAGATTGATCGGCATCAGAAACGTTCAGTAGCAGACAAACAAGGTATAAGGGTCTAAATGACTAGAACTTAGACTTACTGTGACTGCCTGTTTGCCCGAGCTGAGCGCACCTAACCTGCCTTCTGTTTCCACAGACACATCATCATTGAGTTGGACTTGAAGTAACATGGAACAAGACTGACTGGAATTGGTGACACTATTTTTGTTTGTTTCAGAACCTGTCCAGTGTGTGTATTGGCAGCCTGTTTGTGGAGTCATCATCTATGTTCCTTGCTTTTGAAAACTACTGCGTCAACCAGGTGGGTGTAAGATACAGGACATGTTCGTTGCAAGATAGGCAGTTGTTATATATTTTTCTGTTTAAATAATCCCCTTTTTATCCCCGACACTTTATGCAGGGGGATATAGTCATCCTCTGGTCCTTCTGTGGAATATTGCTCATAGTATCAATGACTGGTTTGTCTGGTTTATATTCAGTTATTAACAGGACCATTATATACCTAGCTGAAATTTTGCTGAGTGTGGTATTAAACATAAAACAAACAAACAAACAAACAAACAAGACTGGAACAAAACCTTCATTTCTCATCTGGCCAATGTAGATGCCATCTGCAGAATGTCCTAACACAACTTGCATGGCGTGATATCACTGAGATATTGGTGACCGTGTGAGCAAGGGTTACAATTGTGTCCTCCCTGTGCAGGGTCAGGCCTCCCAGTCCCTGGAGCAGATTGAGAAGGAGAAGGATCTGGTGCATGCCTTCCTCCAGGCCATACAGCGTGACAACTCCCTCCTGCGACGTATGCATCTCAAGTCCTTCCTCATGGTGCCGGTCCAGAGGATCATGAAGTAAGTTCTCACTTCAATCTTTTTGTTGGGGCAATTAGTTAAAATTAAGCCCATGTCCATGGCTAAAGGCAATATGTGCCTGAAGCCTTTAGCCTAATCCTATGTTAGACTAGGTCCCTGGCAACCTATGATGGTCACATGAGGGGACCTAATGAATCGGGTGGTCGGTGACTTGCTTGATTACATGTCATTGTACCCATACAGCATCAATTGTTGCTCATGGTATCAGTCACTGGATTGCCTGGTCCAGACTCGATTATTTACAAGCCTCTGTCATATACTGGAATATGACTGAGTGGTAGCATAGAAACAAACAAACACAACCTAATTGTGTGAGTGACGACATGGCTGAGATATGGTTGATGAACCTCACTCATTCACTCACTATACCATGTGTTTTTCCAAAGGAGACAAGTACATTGGTGATTTGGTGGTCATAATTGCTGATGAATATGTAGACAAACATTTATGAAATCTTTTATTACACAATACCCTTCTAAGCTCTAAAAAATAATTTTCCCTATGTTGATTTCATTGTGGAATAGAGCTAGCCCTGCTTTTGTATACATTTCTAAATTGTTTGTTTTTTCATAAAATAAATATATTCCACAGTCATGGTGCAGAACTAATGAATATGTAGAGTACTTAGATAAGTGACAACCGGAAAAGATCTACTAATAGGTATCATGGTCGCAGAAACATGGGACACCATCTTCAAAATGTTGGACACAGGATCAGATAGAATAATTACATTAGTAACATGGGTCATATATAGGCAGAAAAGAACTCCATTCTTTATATTTGCTGTTGAAGGTTTCTGTGCATTTACAATTTGTTTGACGTTGCTGCAGGTACCCTCTCCTCCTCAGCCGGCTGTACAAGTCCACTCCGTCTCTCCACACTGACAAGGAAGATATCAAGGTGGCTCAGGGCAAGATTGAAGACATTCTCGAGCACATTAATGCTGTGAGCATTTGAGCATTACTTCATTAATAAGATCAAAGCTTGACGTCAGGAACGCTGTAAAAAACAAATCAGCTGCGCTAACATTTTACAGACATTTCACTGAAACCTTAGGAAACAACGGTTTGGTTGAAAAATCTATAATTAAATCTGTTTTGTTTGTCAGTTTCTTTGCCCCATATTATTATGACTGTAGATACATGTGTTTTCAAATCAATATCGCTTGATCACAGTGGTGTGCTGGCCTCATGATGCAAAATTTTTTATGTGTTTTTTTTGTCAGACAATAAAGTATTGTGCTGTATGTTTTTTCACAGAAAACCAAGTTGACTGGATCAGGTAGTTTCAGAATCAAGAGAAAACGTTCCCAGTCTCGCAGATATAGCCTTACTGAGAAGATTGAAGTCAACAGGGTAAGCTATTTCAGAGCAACTGATTTGTAGTTGTGTCTTGTATAATTAATTTCTATTTAAATTCTGATATCTTGACTACAGTGTTAGGGGAGGGGTGGACCTCAAACTATGTACATGTATTTCATTAATACAAATAGCACTAAGATAATTTTTGTTCATCTAATATGGGTCCTCAAATATGAACTGCCTCTGTGGTGTTAGTGGATAGAGTGTCTGCCTGGAGAGCAGAAGGTTGGGGTTCGATTCCCGGCTGCTTCATACCAAAAGACGTTTAAAGATTGTTACCCTGGGGGCACGGGTAGCCCGCCCAGTCGTCTAAGGCGCCGCGATTCGCTGTGCAGATTTGTGTCCCTTGGGCATGCCAGAAACCTATGATTGTGGGTTTGAATCCCGTTTCGCCCCGATTATGTTTCTAGGTTTGTCAGCACCCATGCTTGTGGGTTTCACTGAAGTGGTAAACGTCTGAGACCTGCATCACTTCGGGCTTTCCTCCCACATTAAGCTGACACGCCGTGATATAACTGGAATACTGTTAAAAGCGGCTTAAAACCAAATTCACTCACTCACTCACTCACTATTGTTACCCTGCCTGGCACTCGGCATTGTGGGGCAAAAACTAGAACTGGTAGGTTCAGAGTCAATAAAATTATAAGAATTGACTTTCACTTTTGCAAGCTCCGACGTTTCATACAGTTTGGCCCTCACTCTATGAAGGTTCATACTCCAATGAACTCACACAAAGTGAAGGTCAATTCTTAATTAATCCAGTGTTTTGACATCCCTCAAATGATGAATCTAAGGTATTTATCACCTTAAGGGATCCAGGGTTATATGAAACCATTCATCCATTCAGGTCGCCATGGAGGTGCTGGGTTGGAACAAGAAGGAGGTGAATGACCTGATCACGAGCCGCCTGATGTACGCCACACCCACAGATCACACCTGGGCTGCCAAGAGGTGCAAGAATCTCAAGTTCACAACTATACATGGAGTACTTCTTACCCTGGGCCAGGTGAGCTGGATTGTTATATGTACTGAATGCTGCATGCTAGCATGGTCCAGTAGTGCCCTAATACCTGTGTGCTTTCTGGAGCAGAATTAGCTCCCAGTACCACTTGCTTTTCATAAAAGGGGACTTACTGGGGTATATATGGGGATTGGGAGATCTTGTGGTAATAATAATTTCTTGAATGGTGTACCGATAACATGAACAAACCTTTAGCCTGTGTTAAAGTATAGGAGTTACAATCATCTTAGCGCCAAGATCACTTTGTTGAATGGGGCCCTGTTGTTTGTGCAGGCGATTCTTCAGTTATAGAAAATCTTTGTAATAAATGATTTTCAGTTGGAAAGATAATTGAATAGGTATTTGAAATGTATTTGTTGTTATGGAAAACTGGGAGGGTGTGATTGTTATGAGAGGTAACGATTTCATATTATATCCTCGTGTTATGGGTTTTCAACCCCTAAGAAGTATTTCTGACTAAGCATCTTATAACAATCCGAATACACTAAATTTACATCTTACTTTTGTGAACATTTATTTCTGTAAACCATTGGATGATCAAATGACCATATCTTGTAAATTTAGTGTGATAATGCCTTGCCTCGATTACTGCTGTGTCTCCTGTGGTTTAATATCATGCATGATCTGTTTGTGCAGGCAAAGCATGAGAAACGAGATCGTGAACACTACTTGGTGTTCCCCAAGCCCAACTTTGTCCAGCAGGCTGCCGTGGTGCTCATCAGGGAGAAGAACGGGAAGTACCAGCCTGTCAGGGTGAGTGCTTCTTGGCTCTCGTCTCACATCAGCTCAGGGAGTTATTTGAGACTACAACTAATTGACCTTGGCAGGCACTTTGGGAAGAAAATCAGTATTTTGTTGAAAATTGGGATTTTGTTTTAAGGTCTTGTTTTCCTAAATTCTGAGATTTTGTAACATTGAATTCAGTTCAGTAATGTAAAACTAAGCATTAACCCTCTTCCTCTTTATTAGTCCTGTTAAAATGATATGCAAGTCACCTCAACAGAGTCATATTAGTTGTAACTACATAAACATCAAACAGGAATTTTTAATTCCAATTTGGAAGTTTACTGCAGATTTGGGGATCAGCCTCTGAGTAGGTCTAGATAAACCCTGTAGCTCCTCCCTCCTATGTCATCAGCTACCGGTATCTAGGAAGTGTATAGGCCCATGTGGGGTACTGGGTGATGCAAGAGGTGAATAATGGGGGATTAGTTGAACACTCTGGTTTGGCCAGATACAATTCCAAGAAGTTTTCACTCCAAGAAGACTCCAAAGACACCATTGAAAAGATTTGAGACTAAATAAAAATGTTTTATTTCACCCTTAAGGAAAATAATTTTAGTTGAAAAGCTTCTTTTTTGTGTGTGATAAGGTCATGATAGCATTAAGCTATCTCTGTTGCAGCTCCCATTTATTAATTATGGGTCCAAGTTATTACAACTTTGGCCTCCACAGGTCTTATTTTGAAGGACTCCATGGTGATGATGCTCATGTTTTCCTTGCAGGACCCGCTGATGTTGGACAAGTGTGTGGTGACGGTTGACCCGGACTTTGATGAAGTGTTCGAGCTCCATGAGTGGGGTCGAGAGGCTCTGGTCTTCAAGGTAAGACTATCTTGATCTGATTTGTTGCTTGTTTGGGGTAAGACAAGACTGATGTGTTATACCATCTTGAGCGAACGTTTTTTAACAGTCAGGCTATTTCATGGTGGCCAGTAAATACTGAGTCAGGTCCAAGCAAACCAGTGACTATTACATCAGCAATTAGTGATCCATGCAATCAGGGCACTATAACACTCAATCATCCAAGTTAACAAGCCCCACCACTAAATACAGTTTAGTAGCCTGTCGCAACCAGCAGTGGGATGGGGACCTATTCTAACCCAGGGCACCACATGGGTATTATCTTATCACACTATCAGTGAATGAGAGAGTGAGTTGGGTTTCAGACTGCCTTTCACAATATTCCGGCAAAATGAGAAATGTGGGGCATCAAACCCATGCCTTTGGTGTGACGAGCGAATACATTAACCACTCGGCTACCCTACAGCCTCTCACATGTAAATGTAATTTGATACTTGGAAATGGAGACAATGACAATCAGATGATGATGATGATCAGAATGACGATGATGATCAGAATGACGATGATGATGATGATGATGATGATGATGATGATGATCAGAATGACATGATGATGATGATGATGATGATGATGATGATGATCTTTCAGGCAGAGGAAGGAAGCAACACCAGGCTGTGGGTCCAACATCTCAAACAGCAGACCCGAGACCTGGGCCAGTGGAGGAGGAGACGGAATGCGCTGCCTAATATCATGTTCAAGAACATGGTCTGACACGTGGGCCCCGAGCCCCTGGAGGGGTGTCATACTCACACATGGTTGTCACATCACCATCTCTTCCCAGTGATGCCTTCATCCTGATGGTAACACGGTCAGCCCTTGGACACAGCCCATGAACACAGCCCTTGGACACAGCCCTTGTGTCATCAGTCCCAATTTTGTGGTGTTGACCCTGCCCTGATGTGGTCAGTGAAAGATGCTGAAGAGTCTTGTGAGCTTTGCCCGTCGTGGTATTGCACAGGAGAACAAGACAGAGTGAAGCCAGTTCTAGTTGAGCATAATGGTGGAAGCCTCAGGCAGAGACTGAAGAAATGTGCTCAGGGGAGGTTACTCTTTACATCCAAAATGACCAGAACTGGTTGTAAGTCGAAAGGAGGGGTAACTTGTCCCAACTGCAAAGACGTATTTGTTACTTGAATAGAGTGAAGCTCCAGCATGTTTTTTGCCTTGTGTCTTGCAAACTTTCTTGCCAATTCAAACTTGAGAGAATAGTACAAGGTATGATTTAGTGTTGCCAGCACATATTGATGCTTGTTTAGTGTTTAGAGGTTGCCCAAGGGGAGATAACTCTGTCTTTGTTTGTTGGGGGAGATTGACTCCTGGACAAGTCTTTGAGTGATTTTTGTTTTGTTTTAGGTGATTATAATTACATATAAATGATACATTTGAATCATTGAGAACTGGAGATAGCATGACCCACTTTAAAATAAGTAATCTGTGAATTGGTCAGAAAATAATAATGATGCTTTAATGAAAGGAATTGAATGTTTCAAGATGTAAAAAGATGATTTCTGGAAAAATCATTTCTTTTTCTAAAAGTGCTACAAAAGTGCTATTTTGATAGATTTAATGTCAAATAGTCTTAATAAGGATATCTTGTGAATGACATTTAGATTAGTGCTTGCAAGATTCATTTCAAGGTCATCAGTGATTTTTTGAACTGGTCAAATTGTAGGTATTTGACATTAAAGCATTTGTGTAGTTTTAATATTAGTTGCAAGTTTATCTAAGCAAAACTGTCAAGTAAATTGAAGTTTAATGTTTATTTAATAAATACTGATTTCTAAAACAAAAGTGTGACTTATATGGTGATAACAAAATGTTTAGGTGTCCAACTTAATCTCAAGTATACATTGGGATACATTGCCAAATAAAAAAGAGAACTTTTAGAGCTGGAAAAACATTTTGAATGGTGAGGTGTATTTCTTTTTGTACAAATTTATGCATGCCCAATGATTGATTGATTTTAGACGTTTAATTCATCAGAAGTAATAGGTTTTTATTTCTCGATAAAAATGATTATTTTTAGTATCATCATATGCTTAAACTGTTTGTGTGCATGAAAAAAATAGAAAAGAATATTGTGGCACTACATGCCTTAGTCATGTTTACAGAAATAATGTATCATGGAATAGCTTGTATATAGAACATTTGTTGCTAGACTAATAGCATTTCAAACTGGTGTCTAAAACTTCTATGCACCTAATGAAATTGTGAAAAAGTAATTTGACGATTTTATCAATGTCAGAATATTTTGAACTGTGTGGAAAGTTGACATGTGGAATGATAAGGAAGAAGTCCTGTTTTTTCAACACTGTTTCCCAATATCTAGTCGCACCTGTGCTTGCACATTCCAAAGAAAGACTTGTACAAATGTATATTTTCATCAAGTATATATACTTGAACACACTACTGTGATAATATTGTGTATATCAGATTCAGTCATATGTATGGAAATGTGTCATTTATATTTTGATAGTGAGCTTTGAAAATGTACATTCATTTATATATGTTCATCATGTTGTGAGCAAAATTGGGTCTTATGTAGACTTTCTTGAGGTGTTTATCCAAGGTCAGATTGTGATGCCCTTATTTAAAACTTACTGCATGGCATAAACAGAAACTTGATGTTCTGTTGAGTGGAAGATATGACAAAAATAATGACCATTTATCTTGATATTCTTTGGGAATTTGTCAAGTCTGTTGAGTACCTACATATATTTGGTGTATTCCATGAAATCAATTGATTTCATCAGTGCTATTTCTTGTTTCCATGTTTTTTACGGAGCTAAATGAAGAGGAATGACCTTGCTTTAATATGGGTCACTTGAAAGGTCAATGTCACATCTAATGCCAATGGTATCAAAACACATAATGTGATACATTTATGCCTATTTCAGTCAACCCATGTCCCAAGATGGCTGTCATGTCAGCCATAATGGATATATTATTTAAGCAACTAGATGTACTCAAATTTAGTGTTTCTGATATGGTATGTAAAAGGTATAATGATGGTTGAGATATGAATTCAAAACTGCTCTGTGAATTGTAGAAGTTTATCAAAGTTTTTTACCATCTTTACAAATAGACCTGTATGTAGCTAATAATGTGAAAATGCCACTTGCCCTATAGAATTGTTTTTTAATGATTCCAATTTGATATGGTACTTGCATGCCTACAAAAATGATTTACATAATTTAAATGTTCATGATTGGTTATTGTTGTCTGTTTAGAAATGACCCCGAGTTTAGCAAGGCTTGGGCTACAGTCTAGTTATTCAAGTACATCTTGTGACATTATAAACAAAGTTAGAACCTTAACTCTGTCAAAAAAGTAGTAAGAAAAATTAAAACATAACCACAGTATTTAGTGTGTGTGTGTGTGTGTGTGCATGTCTATTTGAAATGTATGCATTTAGAACTATTTTATAAAAAAAAGAAAACTTTGTTTTAAAATGTTACCTGATTTATTTGCTTTTATTTGAAAAGGAAAACAGATGAACATTTGACAGGTAGTCTTCACTTGCACAAACCATGAAAAACAGCATATAATCATTATTTCGAATAATACGTTTCATATAACAAAAATGATTTTTTGAAGGTGGAAGATTGTATGGATACTTATTAGTGCCACAGTCTAACAAAAATAAATCGTCTATGTAGATGATACTTTCATCTACGTAAATGATACAAACCACATCTACATCTTGACTGGCTGGTTGTGGTTCATCCTTCTTTGGTCTGTCAGCTTTATCTCCATGCCGGAGGGTTTTTCCAAAGTGGTCCAAATCTGTGACCTGTGCCAATGTAGGCTTTCCTCCCCATGAAGCTGACAGGTCATGATAAAACTAGATTACTTGTCAAAGGTCTTTGTAGCATTAAACATTAGTCATTCATGCTACTGACTTGTAATAATGATGGACTTAGTCCACACCGGAAACAGGCAAGGGTCTGGCTAGGCCATAATGAATTAATTATTAGATGTTCTAATGCAGAAAGCTCACTACCAAAGACCCCGCCCAATTTAATTGTCCCATGTACCTACAAAGGAAGTCGCTAAAGTGTTCCCTTCTTTCTCCACATGATGAAACACACCAGATCCATAGTCCCGAGATCCATAGTCCCGAGATACATAGTCCCGAGATCCATAGTCCCGAGATACATAGTCCCCGAGATCCATAGTCCCGAGATACATAGTCCCCGAGATACATAGTCCCCGAGATCCATAGTCCCGAGATACATAGTCCCGAGATACATAGTCCCATCAAACATGCATGCTTCATGAATGCCTTGAACAGTGCATGGAAAATGTTAACGTAATAATGCCTCCCACCTCCAATATTGAAAAGAATAGATGAAAATCTTATAATTTATTGTGGCCTTACACCCTCAAGTATATTTGTTCATGATGTTCATTTAACTGCACTCCACGAGTAAAACATCTGTAACTTATTCATGATTTCGGTTTTGCTAATTGTGATATACATGCGTGTAAATTGATAGTGATCTCATTGTAAATACAAACATCGTTTCAGAATTTAAAATTCTTTTACAGTTTCCTTCTGCTAATATTTATTATTATTTAATTAATTGTACAAATCGTGTAAAAATGATCCTTGAAATGTATGTCTAAAAGCAGGCATTAATAAATGTATATATACCTATATGGTTCATTATGTTGTTTGTGCTTCTGAAAATGTTGTTTGTTTCAAACTCCGCACTTAGCAATATTTCAGCTATATAACTGTGGCCTGTAAATAATGAAATCTGTACAAAACAAACCAATGATTGATGTTAGGAGCACCATCCTGAGCTGTCAGGTAGGAGGACAGGCAATCAATGAAATCACAGAGCAGATCCATTCAGTTGCCCTTGTACAACAAGCATATGTTCTTGGGACCTGTGGATGGGAATCTTCACGGGTTCTCCCTACTAGGGTTGTCGCTGTCTGGTACAGGTACTGGGGCGGTCGGGTAGCCTAGTGGTTAAAGCGTTCGCTTGTCACGCCGAAGACCCGGGGTGATGCCCATTTCTGGTGTCCCCAGCCGTGATATTGCTGGAATATTGCTAAAAGCAGCGTAAAACCATACTCACTCACTCACTGGTACAGGTACTGCAGAAATGTACCCCAACTACATTGATGTATGCAGAATTGTACACTAGCGTGGCTGTGAAAGTTCTGACTACTACTTGTGTCAATGGATTCGTTCAAGTACACCCACCACCATGTACTTGAGACTTTGTGATTTCAGCATACATGAAATGATAACAATTTCACCATGAGGTATTGTTGTCATGGTTTCATTCTTGCACGAATGATAAATCTTTTGTTATCTTTTAAAGAGACCTCCCTTTTAACTCTTAATGTTCTCATTAACCAACGACACATTAAAGAAATTACCACCTCATTACAAATCTCGTAAAGGCGAATATGCTTTTCGTAAGAGGCGACTAACGAGATTGGGTGGTCGGGTTCGCTGACTTGGTTGATGTATGTCATCGTCTCCCAATTGCGTGGATCGATGCTCATGAGGTCAATGACTGGATTGTCTGGTCCAAACTCGATTATTTACAGACCGCCGTCATAGAGCTTGAATATTGCTGAGTGCGGCGTTCAACAACAAACAAACCAAACCAAACAAACCTCGATTGTAATCCTCGTCTTACTCGACCTCCCATAATTGTGATTATGTTATCAATCAATCAATATTTATTTCTCAAAGTACAAGAGACAATACAACAAAGTACATATTAAAAATATTAGGATCATATGACAAGAATGGTTCGACTTACAACATAGTCACAAAATTCTCAAATGTGCTAAACACGTGAATATATTGTGATAAATGTTGAAGTTCACTCATGTTTTGCGAGCATAAAAGGCTTTGAGTTTATACAAAATTTGACCATACAAACATAATTTGATATGCTGTTTTCTCTCTTTTTTCAAAGGCAGTGCTTTAAAGATATAATGTAATTCATCTGCTACTGCAGGAGAGTCACAGAGATGGCATGATCTATCCTCACAGGTAGACCAAGCCATTTTCCAGTTTCTATTGGCAGATTGTGGTTAGATGTTCGGAAATATAAAATTGGAAATGACACTGCGTTTGGAAGTAGTAAATATCGTTCGTAGGATCCTATAATTGTTAGGATCCAGAGCATTACCTATATTCTTATAGATTCTATATTAGTTTTATTATTCCCGTGACCCAAGACGATGGTAAGCATCCGGTGTTCAGAACAAGATTAAATACGTATGTTTATATCGGCCCGAGCAGGGCAAAGGTGCCAACAGGTTCTATTCCCGCGCACGTGTTATTCTTTAAGCCTTTTATTACTACTTCTATTTCTTCAAGAGAGATGTCTTTATTTAACATAAAATGGTCAGGGTACAACTAGGTGTGGGTGGTTAAGCCAATAATCCACGACCACTCGTCATCACTCGCCCCTTGCCGTAACCAGCACGAACAAAAAACTGAAATCGCAGCCATGGAAAAGTGGAGTAGTACATATCTAAAAGGATCCTGTTTAGTAGTAAAACTGCCAACAGCTCATTAGCAGCCACGTGTTCATGGCAAGCAGACATGTCAATGTCCTCTCCCCGTTGTCTCATACAATTTTGCGGGGCGGTCGGGTAGCCTAGTGGTTAAAGCGTTAGCTCGTCAAGCCGAAGACCTGGGTTCGATTCCCGACGTGGGTACAATGTGTGAAGCCAATTTCTGGTGTCCCCCTCCGTGATATTGCTGGAATATTGCTAAAAGCGGCGTAAAACCATACTCACTCACTCACTCATACAATTTTGCAGCGAGTAAGACCCTGGAGAATAAATTAACAATGATTTGGCAAGTCAAGATTGCATAACCTGAAATTAACAATTGTTCTGGGCTCCAATTGGCGTTTTTTGTTTTGAAGATATATATTTTTAAATAAGATAATTTTTTTCTTGGACAAAATGTCAGTCCAGCAGACGGCCTGTCCTAGATCACGAATCTCTTGCTCTGTATCGCCACGAAAACAGCAGTGATAGTTCCACAGGATGGATTTTACGAGCGCGTCAATGTGTTCAACCTGGGCGCTTCGTTTGGATTCCATGGATTGGTTGGTTGGTTTGTTGTTTAACGCCGCACTCAGCAATATTCCAGCTATCTGACGGTCTATAAATAATCGAGTCTGGACCAGACAATCCAGTGATTGATATCATGAGCATCGATCCACGCAATTGGGATACGATGACATGCATCAACCAAGTCAGCGAGCCTGACCACACGATCCCGTTAGTCGCCTTTTACAGCAAGCATGGGTTGCTGAAGACCTATTCTACTCCGGACCTTCACGGGTTCATGGACTCGCCTCCTATGGCTTATCCCGTATCTATATATTGATGTGAATGAGACGAGTCGAATGATGCTTGTCGTGCCGAAATGATCAGTAATTACACCAATGAATGAAGTAAGGTAACATCTTGGCGATGCTATGCATCTTGGGCAAATCACACAGTGCAAAACTAGCTCCTACGCAATCGGCTCACCTCAAACCCTCCCATAAAAATAGGTTGCGAAATAAACCGAGGGAACCCGAGACTGACGCCACCGAAGGGCGCTGGCCTGACAATGACTTTACGGAAATATAGCAACCATTCGTCACTACTCGCCCCTTTCCGTCTTCGGTTTGTCGACGTCCCGGAATGACACGAGTTAGTCACGGATCTGCCCGACACCTACTGCAAATATGACGTAAAACCAATGTGACGAAAAGACTTTATGACGTCACGCCATTATGATGTCATTCGCTGACTACGGGTTTGTCGTCAACACAAGCAGTTGATGGAGAGACGGGAAGCCAGAGGTTTGATACTGTCCTTTTAGAAGATACAGGTATTTGGATTATCAACTTTGGTC